TGTTTCGGTGTCACATCTGTTTTTCCATGAATAACTACCTGTGCCATGACCTGGGTGATCAAATAATCTGTTACTCAAAAAGTGACCTCTTTTAGAATAAAAGTAGGCATCATTTTTCCAGATATTTGTAATATTTGTCCAAACATTAGCCCATAAATAAACTGGGGTAACAGGTGTGAACCAAGAGTGCCCCGGGCCATCCGGACATACGGCTATTCTCTCTTGTTCCTAACCCTCCTACTTGTGGAGGGCCTGGTGCAGTAGTTACCTTCCCACTCCTCTCCTGATTTCCAGGCCCTTCCTTTCCATGGACAGCCACAACACTCGCAGGCCCTTCGTACGCTTTTGTTTTTAGCCACTGGACTCTCAGATTTTCACAGTGCAATCACGGTTTACACTCTCTCCATTTTCTTCCCATTCAGGTACCCCTCAGGCACCTGGCCGACTTGTCTCTGACTTGTCTTCACTGCTCAACTGACCCTATCCTCAAAGGCTGCTGACAATGGTCTCTCTGACGTGTCTACTGATCTCATCCCAGTCGTTGATGTCTGCCCTGCCACCCTATCAGCCTCCACCAACCCTCCTCTCTCACCTTTCCTTACCCGGCCTTCTCCTTCTTCTCCTGCTGCTTTCTTCTCAGCAACCTAACAAGCCCACAAATACTGGTTTTTCCAAGGCTCTTCCCCAGCCTTTTATTCTTTTCACCCACACTGTGAACCTTTCTCACAACTTAATCCCTTCGTAAGGATGCCCCAAATTTCCTCTATTTGCAGTGGCTCCCATACATCTGGATGGTTCACAGGTACACAAATGTGAGCATCCAAATCCAAACTTCTCATCACTTCCATTAAGGACAAACACTGACTACACACTACTAGCAAGTGCCTTTACTAGTGGTTCTTCTTGACTAGTTCAATTCCTGCAATTACTGTCCAAAGTCACTCAGCTTCCATCTTTGACTTCTCCCTCTACTTCTTCATCTAATTAGCCAATAATCCCTGTCCCATTTACTTTTATGGTGTCACACCCAACCCACCTGCTCCCACCCTAATTTGTATTCTCCATTGCTTCTCTTCTGGAGCATCTTAATAGCTTCTTAACTGGGACTGCCCATGGCTCCTCTCACTCAGATTAATCTTAAAGCACAGCTCTCATCACATCACTACCCCCCCCAACACACACACCAATAAACACATCTTAAAATACCTTTGATGGTGATCTACTGTCTATGAACCAGGCTCCTTAGCCCAGCATTCAAGATCGTCGCAGTACGGTCCTCACCTTGCCATGCAGCTTTCTACCCCACTATCCTGCCCCCAGGTTCCTCACCCTCCAGTTTAACCACATTCCTCTCTATTCCTGGATATACTCATACATCCTTTCATTCAAGTCTTAGTATAGGCTAGTTACCATAGCTCTGCCAGCTGAAGTCCTACTAATCATTTAAGGCCTTGCTCAAGATATCTTAATTGTCTTAATTAAGCTTTTCCTTTTCTGAAATCACAAAGCATTTTCTTTGTGCGTCTCTCACAGTTCTTCCATGTAATACAGCCTTTGGTTACCCGTCTTATGCTCCTTACATGACTCTCAAGCCTCTTAAAGGGTGCCAATGTCTGATTAATTAACCTGTAGACTCCCTATACTGCTTTATATATAGTAAGCTGAATGAGAGGCTGAAGTATTCAACTTAACTCGGTATCCATCATATGTCATATAAAAGAATGAAAAAGTACTTAATATCATCAAAGTTAATTATGCCAAATGTTAGGAAAGCCCAGAAACAAACCACTTCTGCTGTTAGTTCAAGGATACATGAATGTTAGATCAAGGATATATGAACCATTTTGCTTAGACTAACACTGCAGGAGAATTGTGCATTCTTTACTGATTCCTTAAACTACAGAGATGTTTAGCGATAGACCAGATCTTAGAGATCATTTAATTCTCCCCCAACCCCTTGTCCTATCCCAACCACCAATGCTCCAGTCGAGAAAACCAAAGCTTTGAGAGATGAAGCTCCTCCCAGGGTCACACAAATCAGAAGTCATAATTATAGCCATTACCATTCATTATGGGCCCAGTTATACCAGACACTGGACAAATGTTATCCCAGCCCCATGACAATCCTTAAAGGGATCACCTAAGAGATGATGAAAGAATGCTCAAAAAAGCGAAGTAACTTGCTACAGAGAGCCCTGATTGTTAGGGGCAGAGCCGAGCCCAGCCCCAATTCAGTTTGGCTGTCATGTCTAGGCTTTATACTAATTGGACACTGTGGCAGAGGCAAGACCTACCAGCTGTCTTGACTCCTATCTTCTACTATTTCTCCAGTGAATAAATATGCCAACTAAGCAAGCACACATACTTATATTGTGAGCCATTTTGTTTGAAACCAGAGGCATGAAAACTAAACAGTAGTTTCATTGCTATGAATGTTCTAAGGTTAATTACTGCCAACATTCTGACTCTTATCAGAAAACTTCAATCTGGAAAATAGATATGTTTTCCTGTATTTTTGTTGTGTGGTTTTTTCCCCCTTCCAATTCTTAAGTATATTCCTCAACTTAAAATACATTTACCCAAGGGCGCCTGGGTGGCTCAGTGGGTTAAGCCTCTGCCTTCGGCTCAGGTCATGATCTCAGGGCCCTGGGATTGAGCCCTGCATTGGGCTCTCTGCTCAGCAGGGAGCCTGCTTCCTCTTTCTGCCTGCTTCTCTGCCTACTTGTGATCTCTGTCTGTCAAATAAATAAACTCCTTAAAAAAAAAATTTGCCCAACCACATTTAGCAAGTATTTGTTGAGCTTCTTACTGTCCAAGGTACATGAGAGGGCACAAAGTTGAATAAAACATATTTTTACTCTGAGAATTCACAAGCAAGAGGCAGTCAATGGGCTGATAGTAGGAAACACACGTCCCCCACTTATGGGAGCTCTGGCTGATTTAGGGACTTCCAACAAGATGTCAAGACACTCAGTCCTAATCCCTGCTCTGTCTGCAGCCTTGGCGAGTCATCTCACTGTGTCTCAGTTTTCTCAGCAAAGAGATTGGTACAAAAGAATGAATCGTGCTAAGTAGTTTCAAGGTCCTTGTTAGCTTTAAATTTCCATTATTGCTGAGATTACTCTTGAAATCAGATTATGCTTTTGAAATCGATCACAACTGTGGGGGAAAGGGCACTGCTGGATGCCCACCCTTCTTTAACTTTGGAAGTACTGAGTTCTAAAAATATTGTTATAGGAGTAAAGCTGACCAATATCTTTCTACAGTTTATTTTTTATAATAATAAAAAGAAGTGGTGCCTGGATGGCTCAGTGGGTTAAAGCCTCTGCCTTCGGCTCAGTTCATGATTGCAGGGTCCTGGTATTGAGCCCCGCATCAGGCTCTCTGCTCAGCAGGGAGCCTGCCTCCTCCTCTGTCTCTGGCTGCCTCTCCACCTACTTGTGATCTCTCTCTATGTCAAATAAATAAATAAAATCTAAAAAAAAAAAAAAGAGTAAACTGAAGTTTACCCTCTAGGCAGGTAGCATCCAGCACTACATTTGAAATCTTCTTCCCTTATATCATTGACTGATTATACCTTTAATTCTAAGATGTTTAAAACATACTTTTAAGTAACTCCTATCCACTCTGCTGTGGAGTTACTGACATTAACAACAACAATAAAGCAGAGGTAAGGCCTCTTGCACTCACTTAGTTATATTAATACTTCATATTAAGTGCTACTTACTATGGACCTTCCCAAGCTTCAGCTAAAGTTGAGGTTGGTGAAAACAGTGGGGAGGGAGGAACAGAGAACTATAAGTATTTCAAATATGAGTGAGAACATACAGCACTGTGGGAACTTGACTTTGTTGATTCCATTTCAATATCCTGTACTTCTTTTGCAAGTAGCACAGGTAATATTTTTAATCACCCACAGTCTTCTACAGTAATACACTTTCTCCTGACAAAGCTCTATATGCCTTAGCTTTCCTCAAACTCAGCATCTTAGGAGGTGATGCTCAAACCCAGCTTGTGCTGTCTGTGAAAGAGCACAGAGGAGGAAATGAATCAATCAAAAGAAAACTAGAAGAAAAAAAAAAAAGAACCAAAACTGTACCATCTTAGTGCCTTGCTCACAAAAGGCATTGACTCTCAATGGTCAAAGATAGCCCTAGCAAGAAATTAGGAAAAAGAATTTCTTCATTCAGGAGTTAACAAATACTCAGTGCCTAATATATGCCCCGAACTGTTCTAGGTGCTAGAGTTAAAGCCGGGATCGAAACAAGCCAAAATCCTTGCCACAGTGGAGCTTATGTTCTAGTACAAAGAGACAGGACTTGAGACAAAATAAAATCATTTCAGATAGTGATTAAGGGCCATGGAGAAAATAAAATAGGAATGGGTGTGCTTCCTGGGGTAAGGAGTGAAAAGATATTTAAGATGATCAAGAGGGCCTTTTCTGAGTAGATGCCATTGGACCCGAGTCCTGAATGATAAGAAAACTGTACTCTTAATCCTACAAATGTGGAGTGAGGTGGGAATGAGTCAAGTTAGTCTTTAAGTGTGGTCACAGTGGTTAAAAGTTCTGTATTAAGGGCAAACTAAGTTCCTTTTTGGATTTGGCGTAAACACACACACACACACACGCCTAAATCTTTAACTCTCCTGCTTAGGAGCCACTTGTTTTTATTGTAAGATCCACTAACTTTTTAAAGTTTTTGCTAATTACTTTAGCGGTACTTAACCACAGGCAATTACTAGAAACACTGCTTCAGAACCCAATACCTCACTTGACACCAACCAAATTCTGAATGAGACAGGACCCAGTCTCGCAGCGAATCAGAGCTCCTCCACCGACTCATTAATGCAGCCAGGTGGAATCCTGCAACCCTTCCAAGAACGGGAAGCAAGATTCGGGAAATCTGGGGTAGCTGACACCCCAAAGTTCCCCCAAATTGTGTAAGGGGGGAAAAAACAAGCTGCCGTTCTTTTGCATGAACTCTCCCCCGCCCCTCCAGGCGTCATCGCTGCAGAAGGGCGGCTGTCCCTGGGTCAGAGGTACACGGCGAGTACGCGCGCGTGTGTACCCCGCATGAATCATCGGCGCCCGGTCCGCGGGCGATGATTCATTCACCGCCCTGGAGCTCACGGCCACACGTTCCGGGCGTACTATGACCGCCGCACACGCAGCTGCCTTAATATTAAACAAATGTTTCAAAGTACGAATGCCTGGAGCCAGAAACCTGTAGACCCAAGCCAGGCGGCGGAGAGGAAGCAGCAACATGCTTCGGCCGCTACCCAAGTGTTTCTGGGGGCGGGAGGGGAGCGGCGGACACGTCCGCCCGTCCCCCCGGGCCCCCGGCCCCCCGGCCCCCAGCACGCGCGCCGGCGGCGCCCGCAGGGGGCACGGAGGGCGCACAGGTGGGTCCCCGCCCGGCCCTGCCTCTCGCCCCTCCCCGCCACCCGACGAAGGCCGACGCGCCCTCGCCAACGCGCCTCCGGCTCGCCCCTTCCCTCTCCGTGACATCTTATATAATAACCCGAGCTAATCAAAACGGAAGCGACGCGCGCTGCCGGGGCCAGTCTCCCGGCCCGGGCTGGATGCTCGCGCCCAAAGCCCGCGGCCCCCGAACTAGGCGCCGGGGTGCGCGGCTCCGGGGCGGGGGAAGGGCCCGAGCGCCGCCCCGGCTCGTCCCTCCTCGCAGAAGGCGCTGCTCCTGCCGGTCCCCGTCAGGAAGCCGCGAGCGTCACAAACTGCGTCAGCTTCTTCAAACACATTTCATGGTCTCCCTCCAGCCCGGGAGCCGGCTGCTCCCGAGGCGGGGCCGCGGCCGGGGCTGGAAGGAGCCCCTCTGGGGAGGAGAAAGTTCCTCGGGGCCCTCCCCTCGCCCGCACCGCGCCCGGCCCCGCCGCGCCTCCAGCCCCTCTCGGCGCGACGCCCGCCCCGCGGCGCAGCCCGCCAGCCCGCGCCAATGTCAGCGTGGGCAACTTGTGACCCCCCGGGCGCCGGGCGGCCCCCTCCCGCCCGCCTGGCTCGCCCGACGCCGGGGGCCTTCCCCCTCCGCCCTCACCCCTGGCCCGGCGGAAAGCGGCGACGCCAGAAACTTCCCCGGGCCGCGCCGGGCGGGAGAGCCGCCCGGGTCCCCGCGCATCGCCCTTACCTTGCTCTCCGGAGGCCACGATCCGGGCGGGCCGCGCGGGGCGCGTGGTGCGCGAGCGCGCGCGCGTGGGGCGGTAGGTGAGGGAGCCCGCGCCGGCGGGGGCGGGGCGGGGCAGCGGGGGTGCGAGCGGCGCGGGCTGGGGGGGGGGGCCGGCCCGGCGGGCGGGCGCGAGGAGAGCAGAGCCGGCGGCGGCGGCGGCGGCGGGCGCGGGGCGAGCGCGCCGAGGGGGCGGAGGAGTTGCCGTGGGTTTGTTTACGCATTGCTGCCCGGCTCGGGGCACAGCCCGCACTCCCTGATTGGACACAAACTGGGGCACAGCCTCTCGTCGCCGCCCGCCAGGCCTCCTCGAGCAGCCGCCGCGCAGCTCCCGGAGCGCCCTCCCGGCACAGCCCGCGGCGGCTCCCGGGCCTGGAGGGGACGAGCCGCAGCGGCCACCGGGGGTGGCCGTAGAGCCACTCGTGGGCCCAAGGCTCGCGATCGCCCACCTGTAGTGGCGCGACCTTGGCAAGGAGAAATTCGAAACTTCGGAGGCTGGAGACTTCGTATCATTCAGCCGTAGAAGGGGCACTCCCCCCCGCCCCCCAACAGACGGAGGAAGCTTGCCCTTGAATGGACAGAAAGCCGCAGCTCAATGTGCCCGTTTGGCGATGGTCAAGCCGAACCTTCCTCTACAAGCTCTCTCTGGGGGCTCGGTTTCTTCCCGGCCTCCAGCTTCTCTGCTTGTATTCTGTCCTCACGCAGCATTCAAGTTGCCATCCCAGAAGTGACCTTGCCGCATGATGCCTAAGATCCCAGATGACTCCCCGTGGCCTCAAACCCCAATTCCTTAGTTTCAGAGTCTTCCATGGCTGGGCCTCCACCTGTTTCCATTTCACTGCCCAACTATCACCCCCAAAACCCTTGCCTGTAGACAACACCTTAGATGCCTCTGTTCTTTTGAGACTGATTTTGATCCTGTTCTGTTCTCTGCCCAAACCCCAGAAAACCCCGAAGTTCCCTCAGCTTGTCAAACCCTCGTAGGCTCAGCTTGGCTAGCGTCTCCTACCATCTCTGTGCGGTCTCCCCGAACCCCGTGCAGAATCCACCCCTTGCGGTTGGCATCAGTCTGGCTCGAGTATCAGTCAGGTGTCCCCTCTGTGCCCCTACTAGTCTGCGGATTCTTTAAAAACAAGAGCCTGGTTTCAACAGGGCCCTGGGGATGGGAGAGATGAACACTGTAAGAATAAAATCGTCACTGAGTGTCTGCAGCTCTGTCTGTACTGAAAAAACTCAAGAGAGTCTCTATCAAGAGGGTCTCCTGATAGTCTGCAAACCTCATCTTGTAAAAAAGCAGACACTTCCAAAAATTGAGACTGCCCTCCATTTCTGCCTGTGTCTTTGCATTCTTCCCCACCACACTTAGCTATGTGCCATCTCTACTCATAATGGGCTCTTGATAACCCTTGGGGGAATAAAATTGAGATGTTCCTTAAGCTCAGGCTCAAGGCGATTAAAGTGAGTATGGTAAATCATGGAGGAATAGACACGAATGGCCATGAACTCATTCATTTTACAGATAATTCCTAGGCTAAGAGTCCCTCAACTCTGATAGCTGGTATGGACTTGCCACTCTCCAGTCAAACCCTGGGGAAGTAGACCCAGACCCTTCCCGACTCTTGGGATGGCTGGATTTCTTTTTCTGTTTAGATTCATTGCTTCCAGTCCCACTGGGAAAGCTGTCTTTGAACTCTGAGGGTAAATCCAAGTGAACGTTTTCATTCCCAGGCAGTTCAATAGTGATGATTTATTGCAACGAATTAGGTACAAAGGTTCTGAGAGAACTGGAAGTGCCACCAGAGGAAGGCGAGGCAATCCTGAGATTAGCAACTGCTGGATGCACCTCCTCCCCTAGGGCTCAGGGGACAAAGGGAAGAAGCTGCCAGAACCATGAAGGTCTTGCCCAGTGAGAGCTGGAGCCATGAAGGAAGTAACAATGACTGCCGGAGTTCCCTCCCAAAGCGGAGGAATCCCCTGCTTTCTTCCTCCCACCCTCCATGACCACCCAGTGGTAGAAAACAGAAGCCAGTGGAGAAGACAACAGAGAGCAGGGGTCAGAGCAGAGTAGGAAAAGGAGGTGGAACAGAGAGCACGGTGGCAAGCCACTGGCATTCCGAGCTTGGGCGAGGCACCTGCTTACCTCTGGGACTCTGGGATTCTGCGGGAGCAGAACAAACTTTCTTTCTAAGCCCCAGAACTCCTTTCCTCCCTCTGTTCCCTTTTTGCACTTTTTGCTTCCATTCTTCTTCTGTCCTCTTTTCTACCATAATTCCCTTATATTTTTTTTCTCTCTTATTCTCTAGTTCTCATTTTTCTCTTCCTGTTCTAGTAGACATCCTCCTAACTTCTCTTTTCTCCCTGGAGTCTCTGCTCACCTCTGTTTGTCCTACTCCTTCCTGGGCAGGATGCAGCCTTCTTCAGCATGAAGGAGAGGAGTAGATTCCTATGGTAGGCCATGGAATTTGGAACTATGGTCCCCTCCAGACACTGTGCTAGATATTTAACATGTGGTATGTCATTTCATCTTCACCTTACCCACTAGCTGGGCTATGGTGAATATAACTTTGGTGGCTTCACTATTGCCCATCAGAAGGAAGGCTTTGCTGGTGCAGGTCACCAACATCACTGCTCTTAGCTTTCTGCATCTGTGAGTGTCTCCCTCCGCCCTTTCTTTTTCCTAACACTACATCTTTTCCTTCCATTAGCTCAAATATTCCTCCCGAATCTCAACCCCCAAAAGCCTAATAGATCTGCGCTCTAATTTGGCATTTCATCTGGCTTTTGAAAGGTGGGTAGAATTCAATAAATGGAGATCGAGGAAAGGCCTTTTTGGTGGAACAGTGACTAATATGGTCCATTTTGACTGAACAAAAGGTACAGCTGGGATCTAAGACCGGGTTTCAGATATTTGCCTTTACATTTCAGTTCTCTAAGACAGACTACTCAGAAACACAGATTAACCTTAAGAATATTAAGTATGAGTATAATTCATATAATTAGAATTGTAATGTTCTAAAGCCAGAAAGAAGTCAAGACATTGTCTGGCCCAACATATCCATTTTTTAAAGTGAATGACTTGAGGCCAAACAGGCTTAGGTAACTGGAATATGACAGTAGCTAAATGCAGACATTCGAGTTTGACTACCTGTGTTCAAATGCCTGCTTTGACACATGTGAGATTATATGACCTTGAACTTATCTGTGTTTAAGATTCCTCCTCTATAAAATAGGAAATGAGAGAATCTACCCCAGTGGGTCATCGTGAGAATTAAATGTTTTTATGGGTAAAACACAAAGCACAGTGCCTGGCATGTAGTCAGTCTCCCATAAATAGAGGTGAATATTATTAGGATTTCCCATGGCTATTCTGCTAGCCGGTATTTACCAGAGTCAGAACTTGTTCCCAAATCTTTTTGGCTGTAACTGAGTGTTCTTTCCATTCCTAGAAGCTATGTCTTAGGGGGCTCGTTGACTGTCATCTGAAAACATGGTGCTCCTCCGGTTTGCCGTTTAAAGAAGTTCTCCATTATGCTCCCACTTGCCATTCCTCTCCCTCCCCTGCAGCCGGCTCTAAGGCGGGCCTCAGCGATCCTACTGTACAATCAGGACTGACTGCGGATGGTGGAGTTTTGGCAGAAGGAGGCAGCAATCTAGTTTAGGAGCTCTGAGATAGTCAAATTTGACTAATTTAAATTTCAAAGGATGAAAAAGAATCATTGAATCAAATCCTGGAGCCTACTGAGTGGCAAACCTACCAGCTTCAGTTTGGATGGTTCCTTGGGGGAGCTCCCTGGGACCAAAAAGATGCCTTCCTTTAATGGAGTGCCCAAGCCTTCAATATGTTGTGATGGAAAAGACTCTTCTTTGCCCCTCCACCTTTCCTTTCTGAGTCTCTGGTTCCACATTTCAGAACTCCCCATGAGTTTCATGTAGTTCACTTTCTGGACTGTAAGCTTCTTGAGGCAATGAACTCCCCCTTGACTTACCTTTTCATCTCTGGGACCTAGCTCAGGATCTGGGGTCTAGCAGGCACCCACGGCTGCTGAACTAACTGAAGCGATGCCACACAAACACACAAACACACACACGTCCTTGAAAGGGTCCCTCCTCTCCCTTCAAATCTTTGTCTCCTCGGTTGACATCCTTGTTGGCCCGCTCCACTTATTCTCCGGAAAGCATGACAACAGCTGAATGTGAAATAAATGTGTATTTTACAATACAAACTGCATTCAAAGGGGGTTATTTTAATGGTGTAAATCCAGGAAGTATTTTAAGAGGGTCAGGAAGACATTTTTGGGGGGACAGCTGGACTTTCCTAACACCTTCACATCACACCACACACACTGAAACTTACCTCTCCTATAAATAAAGCTTATTTGACTCTCATTGTTACACATTTTACTTCAGATTTCTTAGGCTAAATTGTAGATGGCCCCCATTCTATATATGGCTGCATTAATTATCCTGCCTAAGTCACTTCTTAAAAGGCACAGTTTTCTTTAATCTTAAAAAAAGTTAATCACTGTCCCATTTTTCTCTTTGACTTCAAAACCAGACTAATGACCCAATACCTTGATCACTCACTGACCAGTGTGCCACAGACTGGTACACAGAGAGCACAGAGAGTAAATGGTATTTTATTATTATTATTATTATTATTATTATTATTGATCAGTATTATCACCTTAAAGAGAAGAGAAAAGCTCTTCATTGCTTTCCTTCCTGATTTCTTTCAGAAGTTGAGCTTTTTTTTTTTTTTAAAGATTGTATTTACTTATTTGACAGACAGAGATCACAAGTAGGCAGAGAGGTAGGCAGAGGGAGAGGAAGGGAAGCAGGCTCCCTGCTGAGCAGAGAGCCCGATGTGGGACTAGATCCCAGGACCCTGGGATCATGACCTGAGCCAAAGGCAGAGGCTTTAACCCTCTGAGCCACCCAGGCGCCCAGAAGTTGAGATTTAACATCACTTTAGGAAGAGACGGATAATTCATAGTAATCCAGTTTTGCGGATACCACTTGTTTCTGCTTCCCAAAGAGAGGCTGGAAGGATGATTAGGGGTTATTGCATTCCTGGGGTCCTGTAATCAGCCTGGTCCTCTCCATCCCCACTCTGCCCTCCATAATATTCTTGATAAAATGGGAATCACGCAGGCCATCTCTGGCCCAAGAAGAGTTCATAGCGGCAGACCAAAGATTTGTTCTCTGTTTGTGCTTACAATTCCTTCAGGGCTTTCTCCTGCATGGACCAGAACATTCTTTGTCGAGTGCTGTTTGGTTTTCTGCTTTGGATGACAATTTAGAAAAGAGAGGTTCCCTAATGGCTTCCCAGCAAATCATTCTTTTGGTCTCAACTATCATACTTCATTTCTTTACCTTCGGGTAACTTTTCCACCTTGATCATCTAATGGTCTGATTTAACTGTCTTCTTTTTGATGATAGTAAAAACAAGCAAAACCTTTCATTACTAGTTTTAATGTCCCTTTCTGGGTAGGTGTTCTGTGAAATCATCTTTGGCCCACTGTA